CCACTCCACTCAATTCCCTTCTTCCACTACTCCCCCACCCCACCGACCCACCTTACCCACCGCCACACCACTTACCCCACCATCTAATACCCATCCCGCCCTTTTTTCCCTGTTATCTCAATACCAACATCTCTTTTCTTCCCCTATTGATCTACCACCACCAAGACATATTGACCACACGATCCCGTTGCTCCCAGATACCCAACCCATCAATGTTCGGCCCTATCGATACCCTCATTCTCAGAAGGCAGAAATTGAGAAACAAGTGCAGGAACTCCTCTCATCCGGTGTCATTCGGAACAGCAACAGTCCATTCTCCTCCCCTGTTCTATTGGTCAAAAAGAAAGATGATTCATGGCGTCTTTGCATCGATTATCGAGCTCTCAACGCTGCTACAATTAAGGATCGTTTCCCAATTCCCGTAGTGGATGAGCTTTTGGATGAATTACATGGTGCTTGCGTCTTCTCCAAACTCGACCTCCACTCCGGGTACCACCAGATACGAATGTGCACAGAAGACATCGCCAAAACTGCCTTTCGTACACACGACGGTCACTACGAATTCTTGGTAATGCCTTTTGGATTGTCCAATGCTCCCTCTACTTTTCAAGCCCTTATGAATTCCATTTTCCGTCCGTACTTACGAAAGTTTGTGTTAGTATTTTTTGATGATATTCTTGTGTATAGCTCATCTTTGAATACTCACATTTCCCATTTAGAGACCGTTTTCCAACTTCTCTCCACACACAGCTTGAAAGTGAAACTCAGTAAATGTTCCTTTGGACAACATCAAATTGATTATTTGGGCCATACTATTTCGGGGCATGGTGTTTCTGTGGATACATCTAAAATTGAGGCAATCATCTATTGGCCACGCCCAGTTTGTATTAAAAGCCTTCGCGGCTTTCTGGGCTTAACAGGTTATTATCGTAAGTTCGTCAAGCATTATGGGGTGCTCGCCAAGCCATTAACAACTATGTTGCAGCATGGCAACTTTTTATGGACTCCTGAATCTCTTAATGCTTTTGAGACCCTGAAACAGGCCCTCACATCCACTCCAGTTCTTGCTCTTCCTGATTTTACAAAGCCATTTGTGGTGGAAACTGATGCCTCCGGCACCGGCATCGAAGCAGTATTGTGCCAAGACGGCCACCCAATCGCTTACCTTAGCAAAGCTTTATCCGGACGCAATCTCGCTCTCTCCACGTATGATAAAGAGCTCCTAGCTATTGTGGTTGCCGTCCAACACTGGAGACCATATCTGTTAGGACAAAAATTCTGGATTGTCACAGATCACAAACCCATCAAGTACTTTCTCGAGCAACGCATCACAACCCCACATCAACAGAAATGGCTTGCCAAACTTTTGGGTTATCACTATTCGGTTGAATACCGACCGGGATCACAAAATGGTGCTCCTGACTCTCTGTCCCGCCAAGCCGAGCCCATGCAGCTGATGGGTCTCTCCTCTCCCATCTTGGACTGTATTCCTGCTTTTCAACAAGCTTATGCGACGGATCCTTCTCTTTCAAGTGTCTGGCCTGCTTTATTGTCTTCTCCCGATGCCCTCCACAATGGCGTCATACACTACAAGCGCCGTATTTATGTTCCTTCTACATCACAATGGCGTCATACAATCCTCGAAGAACTTCATTCTTCCCTACAAGGTGGCCACTCTGGATTCCTTCGAACCTATCATCGCGTGAAACGCAGTTTTCTTTGGCCCGGCATCCGACGCCACGTCAAGACATTGGTTGCCCACTGCAACGAATGCCAACGCCAAAATCATGAAACCATCCACCCCCCGGGCCTCTTGCAGCCATTACCCATCCCCAATGGCATTTGGCAAGATATTGCACTTGATTTTGTCGAGGGTTTACCTTCTTCACATGGTTACACAGTCATCTTGGTTGTGGTCGACCGTCTAACCAAATATGGTCACTTCATCCCCATCAAACACCCATACACTTCAGCTACAATAGCCGACACTTTCATTAAGGAGATTTTCCGTTTACATGGTATGCCCAAATCCATAGTATCCGACCGTGATCCAACGTTTCTCAGCAACTTCTGGAAGGAATTTTTCAAACACCAAGGAAGCAAGATCTGCCATAGCTCGGCCTACCACCCTCAATCGGATGGCCAAACGGAAGTACTCAATCGCACTTTGGAGCATTATCTCCGATGTTTTTCTGCGGATAAACCAAGCCAGTGGTCTTCCTTCCTGCCATGGGCCGAATGGTGGTATAACACCACCTACCAATCTGCTATCAAGATGTCCCCCTTTCAAGCCTTGTACGGGGTTCCCCCTCCATCTGTCCACACTTATATCCCTGGCACAACAGCAGTTCAGTCAGTCGATGCTGCACTCCAGGACCGAGACCAGCTGCTTCGTCTTTTACGGACTAACATTCAGCTTGCCCAAAACAGAATGAAACAACTCCATGATAAAGGTCGGACTGAACGAGAGTTTATGGTCGGTGATTGGGTCTTTCTCAAGCTTCAACCCTATAGGCAACAATCTGTCGCCATGCGCCATTCCAACAAACTTGCACCTAAGTTTTATGGGCCATTTCAAATTCTGGAACGCATTGGCTCGGTGGCTTATCGTCTCAACCTTCCACAGGACTCCAAAATCCACCCTGTTTTCCATGTCTCCTTGCTCAAAAAGAAGGTTGGCGCAGCGATTCCTACCAGTCCCACCCTTCCACCGATGGACTCCACGGGATTCTTCACATGGCAACCAGACACAATTTTGGACAGAGGCATCTTCAAGAAAAAGAACAAACCAGTAACTAAATGGTTAATCAAATGGGCCGGACTACCAACGGAAGACGCTACCTGGGAAGAGGCTGATGATATCCTTGCACGTTTTCCTGATTTTCAGACCTGAGGACATGTTTCTTCTCAAGCGGGGGGGGGGAGTTGTTAGGACCATATGACTTGGGCCTTTAGCTAGCTCTCTTCCATCATGTGATTGTTAGCCCTTAACCAAGTTCACTTAAAGCCCAGCCTGTTGTGCTAGGGTTCCCTTGCAGATTGTATATAAATAGATCATTGTAATCTGAAAAGGATATGAATGAATGAAATCTGCCTATTTTCCTTTCGAACTCTCTTGTTCTTTCCTTTTCTTTCTGCACTGTTGCTTTGATTTCTAGCTTTCTGTGTATGAGACCGATTGGGCCTACCAATGGGCTTATCGGAATCTTGGTCCATCTTCTCCTCCTTCACCTTAGCGGCTTCTCTGTCCTCAGATCTCGCCATTCCATTCGCATTGCCACTGCTTTTTGTTGGTTGCTTTTTCTTGCGCTCCAACGCAATCGAACCCAAGCTCTTCTCATCGTCGTTGTCTTCTTCCTCCTCTTTCACCTCCCTCTGCGGCTTCGCGTCCTTTGGCGGCATCTCTCAAATTTTTCGGAGTGTGAGAAACAAAGGGTTTTGGAGGAAAAATCGCAAGAAAAAAATCGGATGAAGGCGAGGCTGTGAATTTCGATATTCAAAAAAGGTCAAAAAAAAATCCACTCCTTTTGTGGGGCCGTAGTATTCATTTAGCCAAACTTAACCTGGCCCAAATGAAGCCCAATAACTTAAGTCCAACAAGACCCAATAGGCCCAACTGTTTTCTTTTTTGTCAATCTATATATTATGTGAAAGACTAATAGGCTAAAAAGATGTTTGATATTCAACTATTTTATATAAACAAGAAATTTTATTAAAAGCTCAAGTGCTTCTTGAAAGTGCTTTCTGAAAACATTATGCATGTATTTATACCAAAAAAACAATTTTACAAGCTAAAGTCTCTTATAAACAGTTACATCATGTCCAAACCTTCCCTAACCGTGAAGCTTTGCATAACTAATATTTTGGAAAATTAAACATTTTAGCATCAATATGACAATATCCCCCCACCCCCACGACTAAGTGGGATGTCAAAGTGTCCAAAAAAGATAGGGACGAACAAAGGTCGGTGACACTCGGTTGGGGATTAGATTCTGCAACCGAGAATTTATGGCCCAGGCACAAAGCCAACACAACTCACGACTGCACCGCACTGCAAACCTCCTAATTGAGACCCCACCCCAAAACCCTAGATATATCAAATCATCAAAAACTAGCTTGCTTGGGGAAAAGTTAAGCTCCATTTCCCATACTACTCTTACATCCTCTTGCTGTCAACCCTGCAATGCCACGTTGCATCTCGAACCAGTGATACAATGTCACGTAGAAGAGGTAATACACGTAATATTATTGTATTATTTGTTGGAAACATCCTACAGTGACTTGGCTTATATAATAACATCCTCGCCCTTCAGCTAAATCACAGAAGAAAGGGGTGGATGGAGGAGAGCTTAGCCTCCGTCTCTGCGCCGCCGTCATTTTTAGTGACTGTAGTCGGCATCGTAGTTGCTTTATTAATATTTTCATCTTACACCAGCAACAAGTCGCAGATGGAAAGAACTCAACTCGGCTTCAATATATTTCTCTTTTTTCTGCCCTTGTTGTTGATCGTTGTTGCTAACTATTTTCTCAGATACGGAAACTTTCCAGAGAGAACGAAGGAAGAGGTGGCTGATAAGGCAGCCGGAGGTGGAGGAGCATCCCCCTGGGGCGTGGCTTTGTTTCTGGGTCTGTTGCTGGTCTTGGTGTCTTGTCAGTCTTATATGCAGTCCAAGTGACGGCCTCACAGGGGTTCTTATCAATAGTTAAGATTATGTAGGTTTTGAGACTCCATGCATCATCATTGTGTAACAATTAATAATGTTCATGGTGTTGTTTTAGATTAGAATATAGTTCATGATCACAGTGTGTCATTGGTTAATAACGAATTAATCATATATCTGGATTATGATGGAGATTCAATTTTGTTTAGAAAAAGAAACTTCTTTGGTTAGAAACACTTACGTTGTTTATATTTTTGTTAGAGGAAAGCACTTAAGCTTTTATGACTCAAAATAATTTTTAACTTTCTTTTGCAAAACATAGCGAGAAACACTCCAAAAATAAAGCACTCGAGCCTACTAATTCGCACTGCTTAAAGAATCATTCATTGTGAAAATTTACAGAAAAAATGTCTAATATCCCAGCAGATGGTAAAAACCTCCATAACTGATCAAATCACCCATGATACAGGCCCAAATGCTAAAAACTGTCAAGATGCTTGACAAACGCTTCTTCCCACTTTCCAGCCTAAAGAATGGACGCATAATTTACACAAAAGCTATGAATCCTAAAACTAAAAAACTCCACATGAAGCTACAGTGTGACAATCTACCCTGCCGGAAGCGGTGCCGAGACAATCATCATGATCCGTTCTTCAGTTTGGGTACTTTAAATCTAGATGAGAACAACTTCGGAGTCTCCGAAGTGGTTACAACATCATCTGCTTTTCTCTTCGAACTGCCGTTCCCCTGAGATCAACCAGAAACAAAACATCAAATTTGTAATTTTCGTAAAAGAAAAGATCCTTTACTCCACAGGTTTAGCATTGACGATACAAAATAGCTGAGAGAGAAATAATATTAGAAGTACCTTTTTGGTATCCATTGTAGAATGAGTAAGTTGAGCAGCCGACAAATCTTTCTTCACAGTTACATTAATTTTATCCTTAGCACTGCTCTTGCCTCTAGCTCTTGTTGTACAACGGTTCAAAACAGGAGTAGACGAAGTACTTGCTGCATTTCTTAACAAATCCAAATCCTTTGAAAGTTTCGAAATCTCTTCCTTGAACTTGTTTGAATCAGTCTCCATCTTAGCAACTTTGCTTATTAATATTCCAATCTTGTCATCCTTTTCATTATTTGAGGACTGTAACTGCTCCATACTAGCAAGAAGAGTTTGTATCTTTGCATTCGCCTGCTCGAGTTCAGAATTCTTGCTCTTCAGTTTAGTTTTGTAATCATTTTCCATAAGGTCATACTGATGCCACGCGAAGCTCTTTTCGGAAGCAAGCTTATCACATTGCTGCTTTAAGGTGGTGTAATTGTTGGAGTGCAGGTCAAACCATGCTTTGAAACCTTCTAACTCACCGTCCGAGTATTCTGCAAGTACAAAAACATCAAGAATAACATCACAAAAACAGTCCGAATATACACCCACAGACAACAAGTACCTCATAACCTGACTAAAGTTTACCATCTATGGCTCAAATATAAGAGGCCCTTACTAATTTGATAACATGGGATATTTTTTACGCAAATATCATCGAAATCAAACAATTTCGAGGTGCTTATATAGACAATACAAACCCAATACATTGACCCGAAAAAAGGCAGATTAACTCAAATTGCTACTCAAATCGACATGGAACGCTATAAATACCAAACCCAAGTTTTCTTGTTCTTCGAAAAACGGAATTCTATCGAAATCCAACATAATCTTCAGAAAATCAAGCTGATAAAGCAAGAACCTTTATAACATATACGAAAAGATCAACACTCACCTAACTTGAGTTTGGTGGTGTAAGCCTCTTGTTGCTTCATACTATGCGCCCACCCTAACTTGGCCGCCTCAACGGAGCCTTCCATCTCTTTCAATTCCAAATCCACCTTCATCTACACACATAATTACAGGAAACCCACACAAAATTTCAGAAACCCCCCGAAAAATCGGATGCCAATACACGAAACCCTAATTTTACGAAATTGGAAAACTGGGGAAATTACCTGGCGGATTTGATCTCCCAAGAGATGAAACGCGGAGACCCACTTCTCTTCTTGCACTCTGACGCGATCTTCGAAGACTTTTCTGTCGGCGGTCATCGTCTCGAGCTTCGATTGCTGGGACCGCAGCAACTGCACCAGAGCGTTGAATATGTTCTGCCAGTTCTGGCGCTGAGAGGCGGAGTCCGGGCGTTCTTTGGTGCCCATTTGGGAAGAGAAATCGCAGAAGAAGGAAAAAAAGATCGGATCTTTGGAGAGCGGAGTTTTGGAGAAGAAGAATACGGCCGTTGGGGAGAGAGCAACAGTAGAGAGTGTAAAGAGTTGCGGGTTGTCAAAAGAGTTTCAACGGTCGGAAAAAATCACAAAAGGTTTCGTGTTTCAAAGCGAAGCGATATATCAGATGAGATGAGAGAGTGAGTTGGATTGGGCTGAGTTGGGTTGTATAGGACTTGGGCCTTCACCGGGTGTTACTCTTATACTTTAGTCCATGATAATAATAAAAATGATCCTTAAATTTGTCTACTCTCAGTCATTTGAGATGAATTTTTATTTTACCCCTCAACTAAACAAAAAAGTTGATCAAGTTTAAAAAAAAAAAACCCACCAGTGTAACAAATGATATAATTCGAGAACGAAAGAAACTATTAGTAGAGCTTAGAGACAAAAACTAAACTTGTGGTATAGTTAAAGGACATTTGCTACAATTTAGCTTTTCTTTTATATAACATTGAAGTGGAACACAATTAATTGATAACAGTTGGGTGTAGAGAAAAGTTTAGATAATTGGTTAGGTATTTTATTAGGATAGATAGGAACTAATGTTGGGTCTAAAGTGATAATTATAATTAAATAAAATAGAATATGGATGTAGAGAATAAATTAGGCGTAAAGATACAAACATTGAAGTGGAACCCCGTGAAAATTGGATGTAGAGAATAAATGTTGGGTCTAAAGTGATATTTACCTTTACTTTTCCTCTAAATATGAAAAAATATTGAAGTGGAACCCGTGAAAATTGCCGGATGGCTAAAAGAATTGAATAAATACGTCGTGGAACTTGCACTTGACTATTCAAAGTCATCAATTAAAGCAATTATCTAAAATTAATCACTTTTGCGTAGGATTTGTTTATAAATTTCGTGGAAGAATGAGTTTGGACAAGTTCTCCAACTTTTTGAACCACCGGTATGTTATGTTGTCAATAATTTGTTTACCATATTATAAACGCATTTGCTGTTGATTATGCGTGGCAAACTTATCTCACACATGTTGCTGACTGTTTTAATTACAAAATATAATAAAATTAACGCGAAAGAAGTTTACAGAAAGAATTTATGTAATGAATGATGTCCGTTATTAATGCCCAACTGGTTTGTTTTCTAATATGATTTTATATTTTTCACACGTATGCAATGAGTTAAAATATACAAAATATTTAGTTGTTCACGTATCAGATATGTCACAGCCCGTTCCGGGATTCTTTATATCGGGGGTGTGAAATGACGGAATTACCCTTGATGGGTATTAAAGTATGTGTGTGTGTGACATATTATTTGGACTAAATTCATAGATTTCAAGCTTTTGGAAAATATTTTAAGTTGGATTAAAATTGGTTTGTAATTTATGTGGTTAGGAAAATAAGGGTGGAATGGTTTTGAGGGACCACACACACACACGGGACACCCTGTCCCTTTCCCCGTGCCCTCTATCTCTCTCCCCTTCTCAGTTCTTCCTCTCTCCCTCTCGACTTGTACGGACGAGGCACCAAAACCCTCCAACTTTCACGGATCGACGTCAAAAAGGTAAGTTTGTGGATCCTTGCAACCTTGTGAGTTCATTGGTGCAGTTTTTAGAACTTGGAACCCTCGATATCACGTGAAACCCGAAACCTATTTTGAGATCACTATTCATGCAATCGTAATATGTCGATTTTCAGGGAATTCTAAGTTTGTAGTGAGCTTAGTGAGGTCCCAAGGAAGCTTGGAGTGCTTCGTTTGAAGGTTTTGGACGTCGGGATCACTGGGTTCAAATTTGGCCGGTTTTCTTGAAATTTCTCCGGTGAGATTTTGTAGTTTTTAGAGCCTTAAAGTAGTATAACGTGAAACTACATGCTTAGGGCTTCATTTTGATATAAAATACGAAGAAAATGGTTGAGAAACGACGGAGAACAAGGAGATTGAAAAATCTCCAGTTTTTCGGCCACCGGAAAAACCCGGCGAGCTGAGGTAGGAGATGCGCGTGGGGGACGCGTGGGGGAGCGTGCGGTCTCAGAAAAATTTTCTAAAAATTTCTCGACGTCCGTGACGTCGAGTAGGTCGATGTGGTATATTCATATACCCAAATTGAGCACCGTATGAGAAGTTATTTCGAATTGTCGGTTATGTGCTTAAATTAACGTTTTTATAGTTGTTTCGCATATAGGTGACACCTATCCCGAGGACGAGCGCATCCAGGGATGTCACAGGGGGTTACGACCCATCGACTTACCAGTGAGTGGGCAGTTTTGTTTTCGTATATGCCTATATACTATTGATTTTCCTATAAATTGAATTTAAATGAAACTATGTTTTAAAATGCCATGCATGCATATTGTGAATTATATGATTTGATAATTGATGCATATATATATATATGTGAATTGGTGTTGTGGACGCACATGTGAGTATCAGGTGAGTTTATATGGTTTATATGAATTAATGATGATGTGATTTGTGTTGAGAGCTCATAACCTGCACTCCTGGTGTTAGTGCTTATATTATTCACCGCACTGCACGCTCACCTTGGATCCAAGTAGGTGCATGTCGTACAGACCATGAGAGGGTTCCGACATGCTAGTCGTACAGATTACTAGAGGTGGTTCCGACTAGTAGGTGACCTTAGATTATGCGCGCAGATGATTGATGAGAGAAGCACTAGAGCGTATCATTACACCATTCTTGTCGTACAGACTACTCAGGTAGTTTCGACTTATGTGCAGAGTAGTGTCGTACAGGTCACCGTGGTGACTCCGGCTGGGTTGGATATTGAGCTATGAAATTAACCGTACAGGACCAACTACAGGGTCTCCGGTTGATTCATTATGTCACATGTTATTTTGATGCATCCATGTTTTGTTATTGACATTTATGGCATGGCATATTCCTGAATTTGTGATAGATTGGTGATTTGTGACGTATGAGGTTTTATATACTATTATGTTATTTTCTGGGAAATTATACAGGTTTTACAGTGAGGGGTTAGAAATGTTTTAAATGAAATGTTTTGGAAAACTTTGGTTTTACTGACCCACTCAATTTTGTTTTTGCGCCCATCCAGGTTCTAGTTAGCAGTTGGTGGCTCACGAGGTTTTATTTGGTGTTCTGACAGACTTCCTGCATGTAGGACTCACCTGCGGGTGTTGTAATTTAATTATAGTCCCACTTGACTGCACCTAGTTTTTATGCTCTGAAATTATGTATTGCACACTTAAATTCACTCTAGCATGCTAGTTGGATATTATTGCTAGTAGTTGTTTTAAATTCCGTCATATTTCTCATATCTTTTGCTTCCGCATCACACTTTTGGTTACGTCACACTCACGTGACGGCCAGCATGCCTTGATTCTAGGATCGGGGTGTGTCAAGATAAACATCTCTGTTGACAATGACAATATTAGTAAACGCACAATATATAAAAAAATGAGAATAATACTCATATGGCATACGTATTTCTGGTATGTATCTATTGAGAATCACTTAATTAAAATTTTCCCAAAGGGGTCCAAAACCCAACTATTATATTTTCGGCAGTTCCTCGTTGACAATTGGACGTCCTTCCTAACTCGTAAAACATCTCTTTTAAGCAAAGTTAAATTTCAAATATTAAGAAATACAAACATACAGCCTCACAGAGATCTACAATTTTGCAACTTGTTCCCAAAAGAAAATATGATTTCTTAAGCCTTAACCTTTGGAAAAAATAAATAAGAATAAGTGAAAACCTTTAGATATAAGAATTTATATATGCTAATTTGGTCCGTCAGTTTTTAGACACTTGAAATCAGACATCCATAAATTCATTCGAACTACGTAAAATATCAAGACAAAAATCAGAGGAACATCTCACGCCGCTAAGATCACCCAACTTTCGTCAATATTTAACAACAGAAACAACGCCATTTACTTTTTACAGTTATGTTAAAATTCCTTGTCTTGTACTTAGCTTTGATGTAAAAAACTACGAGACCATTTACTTCCTTGTTGCCAACTTTTTTATCCTCCCGATTCCCTCCACCATATAAAATGCCACAATGCTCGCATCACCACCAGGGCGACCAGCCATCTTCTTCCTTTCGTTAGCTTTTCTGCTACGTTTTTGGGTAAGCAAAAGTTCTACTCAACGACTTGTACAAAAAATAATAAAAGAATTAGTTACTTTCAATATCCTACAACTTTATGTGTTTAATCTACCTTACTTTTTTGGTAGTGCAAACGGTGTGAAATGTATATAACATGATATTTTGTTGTGATGAACTCGTGTTGACCAACATATGCAGATTCTTAAACCCTAACATTGATACAAAATCGCTGTTTTCGATCAATATTCAAGGATCGAGAATCCGAAGATATGTCTCCAGTTCATGGCGATCATGCTTCACAAAATGGGAATACAAGAACTCAAGAGACAGTCGTTTTTGAAATTGGAGAAGACTCCGATTTTCTGAGGTTACTGGACAGGCCTAGACCAGTAAGTGTGGAGAAGAAGAGATCCTTCGATGAAGGGTCGTTCAGCGAGTTGTCCAGTATAGGGTCTCCTTGTAGAAGACCCAGTTTTCTGGGGAGTCCTAGACTGAACTATGAGTCACATCCCGTGGTTTCCGATGCCTGGGAAACCCTGCGACGCTCTGTCGTGCACTTCCGGGGCCAGCCTGTTGGAACCCTTGCCGCTGTCGACCATTCTGTCGAAGAACTTAACTATGATCAGGTAGACTTTTAATCAAAAATAGAACTGAAGAACACCAAACCGACTTGAAGCCATATATCCATATTTTGTAGCCAGTTCCCTTCGTGCATATGTTCCCCGAATTAATGTTACAAATTTATTTCATATATAGGTGTTTGTTAGAGATTTTGTGCCAAGCGCATTGGCATTTTTGATGAATGGAGAGGAGGAGATAGTGAAAAACTTTCTTTTGAAAACACTTCGCCTCCAATCATTGGAGAAAATTGTGGACCAGTTCAAGCTAGGAGAAGGTGTCATGCCGGCGAGCTTCAAAGTGCTCCATGACCCCGTAAGAAACTTCGAAACCATAACAGCGGATTTTGGGGAGAGCGCAATTGGAAGAGTAGCTCCGGTTGATTCTGGATTTTGGTGGATAATATTGCTTCGCGCGTACACAAAGTCTACCGGGGACACTTCGGTCTCCGAAATGCCCGAATGCCAAAACGGCATTCGCCTCATCCTGGATCTCTGCCTCTCGGAAGGATTTGATACTTTCCCTACTCTGCTCTGTGCTGATGGATGCTGTATGATTGATCGTAGAATGGTTAGTTTATTTGCGCATTTTATCAAACACCTTCAGTGCACTAATTGCTTCCATATCATTGTCGATAACACGTCAAAATATGATAAATATACAATTTGCAGGGTGTGTATGGATATCCAATCGAAATTCAAGCACTGTTCTTCATGGCATTACGATGCGCTCTGGTTCTGCTCAAGCAAGACAACTGCGGCAAAGAATTCGTGAAGCGCATAACCGACCGCCTCCATGCCCTGAGCTACCACATGCGCAGCTACTTCTGGCTGGACCTGAAGCAGCTCAACGACATCTACCGTTACAAGACGGAGGAGTACTCGCACACGGCGGTAAACAAGTTCAACGTCATGCCGGATTCGCTACCATATTGGGTGTTCGATTTCATGCCGAGTCGCGGCGGTTACTTCATCGGCAACGTGAGCCCGGCCAGGATGGATTTCCGGTGGTTCTGTTTGGGCAATTGCGTGGCGATTTTATCGTCGTTGGCTACGCCGGAGCAGGCGTCGGCGATCATGGATCTTATTGAGTCACGGTGGGAAGAGTTGGTCGGAGAAATGCCGTTGAAGATTTGCTATCCGGCATTTGAAAGTCATGAGTGGAGGATTGTTACTGGCTGTGATCCAAAGAATACTAGATGGAGTTACCACAATGGAGGCTCTTGGCCAGGTTAACTTACGCCTATTCACTCATTTGAAAGTGCTCTCCTAAAATGTACTTGCTCATAGGCGTTTTGTTCAAAAAAATTTATTAGAAATACGTAAAATGTTCTTACAGATAAAATTTGTGTCACTACATGTTATGTTAATTAATGAATTTGTGATGATCACAGTACTGCTGTGGTTGTTAACCGCGGCATGCATAAAGACCGGCCGGCCACAGATTGCAAGGCGTGCGATCGAGCTGGCGGAAAGCCGGTTGTCGAAAGATGGGTGGCCGGAGTACTATGATGGGAAGCTAGGGAGGTTCATGGGGAAGCAGGCACGGAAGTACCAGACATGGTCGATCGCGGGGTACTTGGTGGCGAAGATGATGCTGGAAGACCCGTCTCATTTGGGCATGATAGCATTGGAGGAGGACGAGCAAATGAAACCCCTTATTAAAAGATCTGCTTCATGGACCTCTTAATTTCGATCTTGTATGCGAACACTTTGGGTATGTCAATATTTGGTGGGAATGTGGAACATTAAGCATTTAAACACATATACTTTTTTTTTTTCAAATGTGCGTTAGATCAAGTGATGAAGATACTCTCTGTTTAGTATTATCAAATGAGTTTTTAATTTGAAAATAATATAAACTATAAACCGAAAACAGATGTATATCAAACCGCCTCTTACTGTTAATTTTGAATTTGTTAAAAAAAAAAAGGTTATTTTTTTAATTTGATCGCATAACCTAAAAATAAATGACAACTTTTATAAATCCCCATAGTATCACAATGTCGTATGTTCAAATTTCTTAATTTCTTTTATCAAAGATATGCCTCTGCCCTTTCGTCTCTTCGGAGGGTCTTGTTTCTTTTCCTGCTTTATGTTTTGCTTTGCTTTGCTTTTGTTCAAATTTCTAACCTAGAACTAGAAGTACGAAAACAAAGCCACCTAAAGGACATTAACTGAATGGTAACCCAAATTGCTGGGCCCGTTGAGATGCTAGTTGTGTTGTGCAATTTTTTTTTTTTTAGAGCTTTAACAGAAAGTCTATGGTACTGTTCAGTTTAACGAAAAATTATATTTTTACATTAAAAAATCAATCTTGATACTTTTTATTTACCCTTTATTTTGTTCTTATCGTTAAAACTCAAAATTTTCATTAGTTTTCCTCTTTTTTTTTTAAGTGCTCGGTATTCAAAAATGCCCTACGTGTTACGACATAAGTAAAGTTTCACTAAAATTATAACATGTAAAATACGACTTGAATATACGACATTACCCCCCGAGCTAACTAGTCAATGGTAAGGAATCTCTTGACGTTAAGGGCGTGTTTGGCCTATTCTGTTTTACTAGACTGGCTAGGATTACTAGTCTAGTGTACGTAAATTAGGTTTTAAAGCTTCACTAAGAGCAAGTCCACCCTTGTGGATTGCTCGGGGGACAGGCATCAAGAAAGGGCCCGAGGCTTGGTGGACAACCCTCCAACCTTGGAGAGCCCGAGTGAGGGTGGGAGCCCGAGCACAAGGGGGTGGGGAATTGACAGGCCTGCAGCCCCATTTCCATGGTTTTTTTTATTTTATATTATTTAAACAAACAAAAAAAAACTAATATTTTATTACCTATTGCCAGGGGGAGGGCTCCAAGGGTGGAGATACAAAAGGTAATTACTGTTTATTAATGGCAGTTACTGTTCAATAGGGTGGATTCAATAGTAGATTGCTAGGGGGAAGGGCTCCAAGGGTGGAGTTGCTCTAACCAGTCCTAACGAGACCCCCAAAATTGGACGGACTGCTAAAACCTTTATGCTTTGCTTCACCGCTCCCGCTTCGCCCTTCCCATCTACTTTTTCTTCCTCACATCGCCCCTCTCGCTTCATGCGTTTTAGTTTCTCACCGTTCAGAGAAACCCAAACCAAAACTACTACTTCTTCCTCACTTCGCCCCTCCTTCTGCGCGCATCGCAGTTTCACGCCGTTCGGAGAAGCCCAAAACAAAATTCCAAATCGAAAAGCCCAATTGAGGCAGGCGAGATCCATAAAGAAGAATAAAGGGTTGCCGTTTGGAAGCTCCGATTCGAATTGCAAAACCCCAATACTTTGAAGCTCTGCACCATCTGTGGGGCAAATTTTCTAGTGAAAAAAAATAACGAAAGGAGGAAAAAGGGAGAGAATAGGGGAAAAATAAAGAATTTATTTTAATTTAATTTAATCTAAATCAATTTAACTTAATTTTAAAACTAATCTAATTAAAAATAATTCAGTTCAACAAATGCATCTAAAGGTTCAAACTTTCAACAAGGGATCACAACCGTCTCATGATCGATCATCATATTGATAGTGATTTCGGGAAAAGTTCCATAAAAACGTGTTTAGGTGACCCTAAAAGGCAAAGAACCAAACATCAATTTTTTATTTCACACTTGACATCAAACAATACTTATTTCACACCACTTGACACAAAAAAAATACAAATATCAATTTTTTTATTGCACACGTGACCTTCAAAAATACTTGTTTCACATACTTGATCTTAAAAATATACTTAGTTTCACACTTGACCTTAAAAAATAGATAATTTTAGATACACCGAATTAACAAATTAAATTATGTGTCATTTATAAGAAATAAGCAAGTCAGCACGTCAGTATTTAAATAATAATTCAATAATCAGGAATCAAATCATTTAGTTTACAAAATTTATTTAAAAATTTAATCTCTTTAACATTTCTTCTAAAAAATAATTACTTCACACTTTCACCACTTGACCTTTAAAAATAGAGTAAATTGTAGTTATAATCCCTTAACTTTAACTCATTTGGAGCAATGGTCCATCAACTAAAAATTCATTGTCATTGCTCCCTCAACTCATCAAAACGTGCAGCTATGGTCCCTCAACTAAAAATTCATTACCATTGGTCCCTCAACTTTAATTCAACTTGAGAAATTGTCCCTTAACTTTAACCCAATTGTAGCAATAGTCTATCCAACATAACTCGTTTTGACAAAATTTTTGATGTTGTTGACGAAAATGACCATAATTACACACTTTAATGAGTTGAGGGACCCTAATTATATAAATGGTTATTCCAACATAACTTATGTTGACAAAATTTTGACGAAATTGATGAAAATGACTATAGCTACAAATTTTGATAAGTTGAGGGACCAATGATAATGAATTTTTAGTTGAGAGACCATTGATTCAATTTAATTAAAATTGAGGACTATTGCTACAATTTACTCTTAAAAATAGTTGAAGAATTTTCAATCCTGAACCCTCCCACCCCCAATGGATCTGAAATCTCCTTCTCCTTCTCCTTCTCCTTCTCCCTGTGCTGATGAGATTGAAAATATTATCCGTGTAAGAGGAGATGGATTCAGTTCTCTTCCTCAAGATGTGGTTCATCACATTCTGTCCCCTCTTCCCATTTCAGACGTCATTCGAGTAGGAAGCTCGTCGAAAAAATACAGACAAATTTGTTCTTCATCTTCCTCGTTGAATTTCGTTGCATTTCCTTCCGAATCTACGGCTACCTTCGAAAAACGGTCGGAGCTGCTGTCTTCCTTGGACAGCTTCTTATTACGCCGCGGCAATCACAGGGTACAAAACTTTCATCTCGACTGGGATTGTCAGTACCACTGTGGGAGAGAAACCAACATCCCAAAGTGCTGGGATGTCGAAACGTCTCGAGTTTTCTCTTGGATTCGCAACGCTGTCGATTGCCATGTCCAAAATCTTTCTGTTTCGTTTCGAACTGCGGTCGTACCTTTCTTGCAGTTTGCTTTTGGTGGGAGCCCCCAGACGGAGTTTCCTTCCGATGTCTTAACAGGTAGATCTTTGAGGTCTGTAGATCTAGACATGAAGTTTGCAACTATAAAGGCTCGCAACTTGTCTCTCAGTCATCATGTATCTAATTTATTACGGTTACATTTGAAAAATGTGACTGTCGAAGATGATGAGGCGTTTTGCAAATGGATTTCCTTAGCCTGCATATTTATCAAGGATTTGGTGCTTGAAGATGTGCATGGTTTAGGAAACATCGCCGTTGAAAGCGCGTCGATGGAATTGTTCAAGGTTCACTTTCCCTCTTCTGCTAGCCTCTGCCATGTCCATATATCAGGTGAGAAACTTGAACGTATAGGTATAACTTGGACTTTTAGGACCGCCCCGTAAGAGCAAGTCGTTGAAAATTTCCGCTCCAAATCTGAAGTATCTGAGATGGTCTGGGAACATGATGAGCCATCAGAATCTTGGGGAATTCAATTTTTTGGAAAATGTAGATCTTGATCTCGACGAGTACGGTGTATACTACATGGACAACACCACATCACATCAGTTCCTCTCCAGTATTCAGGGTGTTAAAAGTCTTACTTTAAACCAGTGGAGTTTAAAGGTAATGGATCAGTCCAGTGCATAAAATTGTTTTACAAGTTGCTTAATTTAATTTAGATTTTTATTAAATGTTTTGGGTTCCCTTGTTTGATGTTGTAGACTTTGTTCAAGGAAGGTTGCACGCCACCACCACTGCTCAATGTTTCGTATTTAGGTATGAGTATTCAGGACTTCTGTGATGAAAGCCTAGTCCCAACGATGGTCACTCTTTTCAAAAGCCTCCCTAATTTGCATACTATGGAGATAATTCAGCTCAATGAGATTGGAGTTCTAAATGGTCTAACTGAACTCTCTCTCAAAGACAGGGTATGTTGCAAATCTTAGTACTTATTTCATTATATTTTGGTATGCATATGTTTATGGGAATGTTCGATTGATTTGCTTGTTTGTTATTTCTCAGATCAATGACGTAAGGATAGAGGTGTCTTACGGGTTTCATTTGATCGAGTTTGCGAGGTATATCCTTGAGCGTGCTCAGATATTGAAAAAATTGGTTGTCATTTGTTCATCCAAATAACCAAGTTTGGTAGGAGAAATATATAGAAGCGTGAGTAACTGTAAGAGCATGTATTGTAATGTACTGTTGTGAGAATGTGGAGTGTAGTCTGATTCAACAAACAATGGAGAGGAGGTCAGGTGGATGCTTTGTGAAGGTGCCGCTGATTGGCTGATGCTTTAGCTAATTTTGGTGCAGATCATGATGCATATTACTGGTGGTTCAACGTTTCTTCATGTAAACTTCTGCTTATATTCGTCATCTTTCTGCTTGTACCAATTATCCTTCCATATGATTTTTATCGTATGTTTTCTTTGTATGTGGAGTTGATTTTTAATTCCCTTGTTGTATTACTTGCTATCTGTTTTCCTCAACGGGCTTGGTTTTACGTCTCTCTCGTTTGTATTTCTTCTTTTATTTTAATTTGATTTATGGGGGCGGATAAGACTCACAAAAGCATTTCAGCCTCACCTTGGCCACAAATTTGGCTTCCACATCAGCAGCGGGTTTCGAATCCGAGACCTCCAATTTTTAGTTTTAAGGAAGCCTTGTAATCCGTCATTTACCATTGGACTACCAGCTCGTGATTCAAACTTATTTCTTATTGGTGACAATCATTTTATTTGTAAATTTAATCTATAAATTCAGTTTACCTAACATTACTCTCGTGTTAAATGGTAAAAGCTTAGGAGGTCACATGACTACCGCATGCGTGCTGTGCGTATGCATTATGCTAGTCTGAGCAATCAGTAAAGCCCATGGGCTTGTTGGACCCAAGATTTTGCGCTGTAAATTTTTTTTTTTCAACAAACTATATTACTGTACTAATATGGTAATATTTACTTCACGAACTTTTTAAGTAAAACTCAAATTTTAAGTTCTAAACTTATCTCAATTTGCTCTAACCTTTAGGCCAAATATGAGTTTTAACTCAGAATTCCTCCCTGAGTTAGTGGCTAGCCCACCATATATGTGTGTGTGTTTTTTTTTTTTTTATATTTATGAATTCAGTAAATCGAACAGTTAAGATCTAATATGATCAAATCTAACTGTAACAAAAAGATCTAGGGGTCCAAATTTAATTTCAATGGCTAAAATAATTAAGAAAAAAAATTCTATCATGTGTTTCATATTCCTTTAGTGTTCTACGAGTTTCATGATGTCGGTTTAGTGATTTTTTAATATCTATCGGAATCTAAATATTTTTAGACTAAAATGTTCATAAAATTAAATTAAGATAGTCTATGAAATTATTTTTAAAAAAGTTGCTTTTAAGAAAAATTATTCTAAATTTATACTTTAATAATCTCTGGCTAAAAATTTAACATATAAGGGTCGGAACAGAAAAATTGTTTCTAGGTTAAAACTAAATTCTCTGGATTAAAATTTTTAAGTTTTAACCCAATGGTTAGAGATGATCTAAGAGGGAGGGGTGGACTTAACCTTATAATAAGATAGCAATATGTGATTTAAATTCGCCTTTAACGATAATCGAATTTAAAATCTCTCATTTATATGTGAAGATGAATACAACTAGACCATAATATTGTAAAAGTTCTTTTATTGTCAAGACCAAAAGGAAAAAGGAAAAAGCGTTTTTGTCTTGTGCAATCAAATTTAGGATTGATGTTGCCAAACAAAATGTTGTCTGGCGAGATTGTAAAATGAGCAGACTACAGCTATTGCACGACGTATTAATTAGTCCTCCAGGTTCCAGCGCGTGGTCTCATTCGTTTGGTACTAATACATGCTCACACCCGAAGTGTGTGAAATTTTTTAATTTTGTTTTTAAAATTGAAAGAAAGAGGAAGAGAGTGAAAGAGAACATGTGAGTGGAGAGAAAGAGAGGGAGAAATGTTTTTTTTTTTTTTTAAATTAGATATGTTAAAATCACATGTAGGTGAAGCTTAAACAAAAAATAGTAAAATTTTGATTTGTGAAATTACGTTACTGCCTTTAACTTTTTTGTTGTAATAAAAGACTAAATAGTTTTTTCACTCTCTTTTGGTTGACAAAGAGGGTTCTATTAATATGTAGTTTAGATAAACCATAGACTTTGTTGATGCACAAAATCGAGTCGATCTTGGATCAACGTAAATCCGACCATAAATCACACAAACACACAAAGATATATCATAGTTCATCCCAAGTTGAGGCTACGTCTACCCTGGCGTCGATCTGGTTTCACTATGTATTGAGGCTAGGGTTTGCTTTCTTTGCCATATTTGCCATCCTTCTAAAGAGAGGATGAAGGATCCCTTTTATAGAATAAGACCCAATATATGGTACAACATACTTCAAGTTTCTACCGAGTGACAACTCCTACTTTCTATAAGTGCATGTGTGTGAGCTGTCGGACACGTGCACGTGATCGAGATATTTTATCACGTATATTATTATGCGATGAGTGAAACAAGGATCAAAACTACAACGATTACTGTTAAAATTCTTTGTCTTGTGTTCTCATCAAAGCTAATTTGACACAAGTAACACCACAACACATAATTTCAAGTTTTGTAGATGCACCGCTCTTACATTAATTATGTTTATTTTTTTAGTGCAAACAATATTCTATATTAATCCACACCAAGAAGGACAAGGGAGGTTTGAACCCGAAATGCATTGAGTTAAAAAAGAAGATCGTAATCGATAGAGGAAAGTCCTAATTACCAGATCAATCCACCATGTACATTTCATAAAACTAAATTTAATTATAGTTGATATTTGCTTAATGGGATAGGATCCGAGAACATACATTTTGACACACATTTTTGTGGCTCCAATTATGTAGCTTTTTTCAAGGATCATCCTTGCGAAATGGAATTTATGACATTTATTTGTAGTGAAGAAAATTAACGAATACAGTTCTACAACGAACACTAATTTAATCCAACAACCATAAGATTTTAGATTTGAATAATTTTCTATAGAGATGATATTCGAGAGAATACATAAGAATAGACGTTGTATAACCCTAGAACTAGTTAAAACCCAATGTAATTGGACATAGGATGGCGATGATTGGGTCCAAAGCCACCAATAATTCACAACTAACCACTTGATTCGTGGCCTTTGTTTGGTAGTCGACTCGACTTCATGTATACGTATATAATATAATTGTACTATACTATCAAGTTGGGCAGAGGAGACCAGTATCCATTCCCATCCCATTGTACTATACTACCCTCAACCGGGAATGTGATTAGAAGCTTAATTAATACACATTTTCTGGTTTTTGATTTTAATAGACCTGTCACTTTTCTCGCCAGCCAACTTAAACGACAAAGGTCCATACATGGCTTAATTAAATATCAATCCATTTCTGTTTATGTTTTATTATTAGCTTAATTTACAACTATTAATCTCAGCCACTTGATTTTGAATCATATACCCATGATTTTGTGTCTTCTTTTTGGTGCATGCCTGAAATTCATTAGACTATTCTTGCTGAATTGTATTCTGATGTCAAATCCTAAACATAATCTTTCTATATCCTTATTTTTTTAGTTAACTCTAGTAATTTCTACTCTAAGGTATATTCAGTTACGTCAAGAGATTTGTATTCAGGGACATATTTATTAATGAACTTCGGTGGTTTGGGAACCCTCTAAAAGCTTAGAAAAGCATCTATGAGGACCTTTGAGCACCACTCGACGGTCTAGGCAGGTGCTTGTTTTAGAACTCCATGAATTGCAGTGTTGTAGCGAGTACAAGTTTAACAAAGGAGATGAAGAAGTTTTAACTTTGTTTTTAATAACTTAGTCAAAACGGTGTCGTTTTGAATCATGCCATTTAAAAAAAAATTTAAACTCTCTCTTTTCGTCTAAAAACGTGAAGCCCATTATTTTTCATGCAATTCCCTCATTTAATTAAGGATAAATTACATAGTAATCCTTCATGTTTGAGGTCTATTACAACCTTACACAACATCTTTAAAACATTTCACTTTCATACCTTACATACTATTTTATTTCAAAATAATAACTCCGTTAGATTTTCCATCAATTGATCCGTTAAACACTGACGTGATTGCCATATTTGTGTCACGTGGCAATTTTTTTTTTTTAAAAAAAAAAAACCTAAATCTTTTTAAAAAATTAAAAAAAGAAGCTGAAACCTTATCCCCCATTTTCCTCCTCTCTTCTCCTCGCAACCCCAAACCAGAAACCTTATCCCCTATCCTCCTCATCTCTTTTCCTCCATCTTCATCTTCTTCCCTCTGCAACCCAAAAAAAATAAAAAAATAAACCTTCAGTTCGTCTTCCCCTCCCTTCCTTTTCCCCTCTCTTCTCCTCCATCTTCATCTTCTTTCCAGCCCAACCCCCGCCATTGCCGGGTTCGTGAGGTGGGAGGAATGAGTGTGGATTTATGGAGTGGATTGTGTGTAGAGGAGGGAAGATGGTGGGTGTGGAGGGAGGGATGTGGGTTTTTAGGTGAAACACCCAGATCCCGTCTACACTGCCATTGCCGGGTTTGTGAGGTGGGAGGAATGGGTGTGGATTTAAGGAGTGGGGGTGTGTAGAGGAGGGAAGAGGGTGGGTGCGGAGGGAGGGATGTGGGTTTCTGGGTGAGGTGGGTCGTGGGGGAGGGAGGGTCTCCGCGGGGGGCCGGGGGGGGGTTCACAGGGGTGGGGGTTTTCTTTCAGCTTTTTTATTTTATAAGATTCAGGTTAAAAAAAAAGTATTTTTTTTGCCACGTGGCACAAATGTGGCAGTCACGTCAGTGTTTAACGGATCAATGGATGAAAAATCTAACGGATGTATTATTTTGAAATAAAATGGTACGTGAGGTATGAAATTGAAATGTTTTAATAATGTTGTATGGGGTTGTAATAGACCTCAAACATGATGAGCTACTAAATTAAATGATGATTGTGATATACGAGGAGTTTTTTTCTTCATTTTCTTGGATTTGCAAATTTTTCAAATGATGTTGATGTCCACATCAAATGTCATCTAAAGTGATATAGAAATATGATATAAAAATATAATATAAATAGCATTACTCCCCTGACATTACGTTTTTTTGTTAATAGTGTTTTTACTCGAAACACTTTTTAAAAGCATCTGTGTTTACGATAAATAAAAAATTATAACTATTGTTTATTCATGTGACGCCGTACTTAATTTTGTTGTTTCAAATGGCAAATGAAATTTATGTAAAACGTGTTATGTTAATTAATTAATTGTGATGGGCGCAGTACTGCTGTGGCTGTTAACGGCGGCATGCATAAAGACCGACCGGCCCCAGAATGCAAGGCGTGCGATTGAGCTGGCGGACAGCCGGTTGCCGAAAGATGGGTGGCCGGAGTACTATGACGGGAAGCTAGGGAGGTACGTCGGGAAGCAGGCACGGAAGTACCAGACATGGTCGATAGCGGGGTACTTGGTGT